GACTCCCCAGTTGACGTTTACAGTAGTCCACATTCCATTCCATCTGCTCTCGTAGATTCCCTGCACGTCTGTTCCACATCTTTGCATTTCGTTGGCTACTTGGACAGCCTTCCCAGCCCAGCCTCATACACTGTACGGACATCCCACGTCCCCATTCTTATTCCCGCTTTCATCGAGAGAGGACATTTCGGCTGGCTGACTGGCTTCCCGAAGGCTTTCACCAGCCCATGTCATTTCGTCTGTCGAATTCCAGCGAATAGTAAGATTGTTACTTGCATTTTTTGTATTTTTAATATATTTTATTTGTGTTGCAGTTTCTGTAGCAGTTTGATAGCTTTTTATGGTGTAGGATCACTAGCCCCATACCGTACCTTCTCTCCTTACCCAGGCTTGGGACCGGCTAGAAGACTGGCAAGCTAGTTAACTAGACGAGGTTGTGGGTGATTAGCTGGTAATATAACAGGCACATGTATCACTCCATTTCCTTAGATTTAATTCAAACACTTTTTATCATTTAAATAGACTTGCTTGCTGCTGGGTAACTATTGTTTCGCAGTAGCCAGTCCTGCTAGAGTGTGTGCACTCACAGAAATCTTAAAGAAGCGAATGAATCGCAAAAATCACAGCATTTCCCTCCTCACAGACAAAGGTAGGCTATGCACTAATTCTGCAGACATGTGTGAATTATTTAGCTCAACTTTTGCAGGTAACTACCTTAAGCCCACAGTCCGGTTACTCAATATACACCCTGCTACTAATATGGCACAAACTCCATCTCCACACACCAAACTTAATTAGTACTGTCGAATTTACCTATACTAACATTAAACAAACTATAAGAACCCTAAAATGCTCAAAAGGTTTTGGTACTGACGGCATATCATCCTATTTTTATAAATATGGTGGCCCTGACATCCCCTTACTACTGCTTAAGATATTCACAATGTCCTTAGAAACCCAAACTTACCCTGATGTGTGGAAAACAACGTTTATTATGCCTGAACACAAATCTGGCTCGAAAACAGACGTCAGTAACTACAGGCCGATCAATATCACACCTATAGCATCTAGAATTACGGAGAGACTAGTTAAAGGCAACCTAATGAAGCATATGCTTAGCTGCAACATTATAAGTCCGAACCAAAATGGACTCCTAAAATCCAGATCTTGTTTAATATACCACTTAGACTTCTTTAACTTTGTGACCAGCAGTCGCGACAGACGTGTCATCTACTTTGACATCTCAAAGGCATTTGACCGTGTCGACCATTTACTACTAACACATAAGCTGAAATACTTAGGAATACGTGACCCACTATTAGGATGGCTTAAATCATTCCTCAATAACAGGTCCCAAATAGTTAAACTCGGATCTATAACTTCGAAACCTAGCCCAATCACCTCTGGTGTAGTACAACGTAGTGTCATTAGACCCCTCCTATTAACTCTATATATTAATGACATATGCGCTCGCTTCTCTCATGGGAAACCATTCATCTTTGCGGATGACCTAAAAGTAGCTTATACATTCCAGTCTGATGACCTAGGGTACTTCCAGAATGTTGTACAAAAAGAACTAGATAAAGTGACTGCTTGGTCGTCTTTATGGAACCTACAATTTAACCTTAAAAAATGTGGCTGAATCTGCTTCGGTGCACCCTCAATCGACATGAAATTAACGCTTCAGTCGGCTAAGCTAAACGGACTCCAAAGTGTCGTTGACCTAGGTCTGAGGTACTCGAGTAACCTAACATTTTCTGAGCAAGTGGCATCACAGACTCAAAAGCCGAGGATGCTCTTAGGATGCATACTCAGGAACTTTCACGACAATGAAGCCAAGCTAATTCTGTACAAAACCTGTGTGAGGCCACTACTAGAATGCTGTCCATTTATTATTAGCAGCAGTTACAAACGTTAAAAGCTAAGAATAGAAAGTATCCAACGATATTTTACCTCGAAACTACTAGGCTACGAATGTAAGAAAGACTACATCTCACGGTGCATGATTCTACAACTTGACCCACTCTGGACAAGACGACTAATTATAAACCTAGTATTCTTCTATGAGGTCCTACACAAAATATCATTCTCAGACAGTAGGGACATACAATTCGCTCAGGGTGGCTCTGCGTAACAAAACTTGCACAGTGACAATAAAAGCCTTTAAGTCAACACTCAGCGAAAACTTCTTCACAGTCATGTATTCTAAAATATGGAACAATCTGCCCCTAGAAGTCAGGAACTGCAATACGGTTATAAGTTTCAAACGCTCTCTGTACAGACTGTTTTACTCTACTGATTGTATAAATAAACTATTCATTCCCAGAACGAATCAACTGCTGGTCTACTACAGTACTTAAATGCGCTTAAATACCTTTACTACTCTAAAAACTATAAATAAACTAGTCGCATAAATGTATAGAAAGACTTAGTAGAAATAAATATTTGTTCAACGAATTACAATGTACAACGAATATAAGCATATATGTCCCACTCCACATACTTTTTCTCTGCCCTCTGGTACATTTCTGGTTGCCTCTTCTATTGTATTTGCCTTGTAGTACAAGTTGCATTGATCTACATTCCGAGTGAAGCTGAGAAACAATTGAAGTCACATAACCATATATCATCCCTCAAGGTTTGGCTAGTAATGGCTCAGCATCCTTGATGAAATCCACTGTCACCATAACAAGACGCTGTACAGCATCTTATACAAGCAGTGTCAACGATCTAAAGTGGCTTTTATATAGCTTTCTACGTGTTTATCAACTTACGCGTACGGAACAACCATGCTGTGACAAATGGCGGGCTCTGGCTGACTTGGGTGCAGTAAAACAAATCTGCGTGACAATAACCAATATTAATCTGCATTCAGTTGAATTCACATCTGGTATTACTTGCAATAAAAATTATGTCAAAATCATACAAATAAATCACTCATTTTAAATTAATACCCAGTTTGAACATAAAACAAGAACAAGATACGATCCCGCACACAACAAAGTTATATGGAGGAATTGACTTCAAGCTTTATTTTTCCCCCAAATATTTGTGATTTATCTGACACACACTTGGGTTTTTTGTTAATGCGAAGACAACATTTTTATATTTCTTTATGTGCTCCATTGAACGACTAACTATCAGAATGTGCTCATTAACTGATGTCAGAGAGAACATCAACCATGTAATTTCACTATAAATCAAATTCATATAATTTAAATAACACTTATCCATGCCTGTATAACTGGTGTGTCCTACATAGATAGGAAATATATATATAAGTATCGACTTGTCTGATTCACTAAGTCGGTATACATGAACACTTCGTGCAGACTCAAAGAGTAATGGGGGATTCAGAAACCTGATGGGAAAATGGAGAATATTGAAAGATTTGGCAAGAGTTGCAAAACTGAGGTGATTATTTTGCTCACCATAGTTTCGCTGTTCAGTGTAACATCAAAGCATGAAACAGACCTAACTGTAACGAAAGGCTGTGGTATGGTGTAGAATTATAAGTCGAAAGTGCTACGTATCACACGCAGACACCAGTATTATATCTGTGGAAACCCCAATTGGAGTTTTGCCAAACGTCCAGTGACAACACTGATTCGCTGCTGCAGAAAAAGCCAACTTTCAGGAAGAGGAGTTAGAATTAGATGCAAAGAATAAATGTACTTATGACACGAAACTTAAGGTGGGAGGCTTCGGAAACTAGTTCCAATCACTTTTATTCGCCACCTCAAAGGCATGATGTCAACTTTTACAAGGGTCATCCAAAGAGGTTGTCTTTCTGTCAAGTAACAGTGGACCCGTAAGTGCCCAGAAACACTTGTCATAAGTGGGCCGAAGATTCCGTTACCATTTCTGCCCCTTATTTCCGAGTATACAGCCCCTGCAAATCATCTTCAGCGGACGTTGTCATCAGTTAAGGGATCTAAAAAAACAACAAGATAAACTTGCAGCAACACACGGACCGCGTCAAAGTTTAGTTCAACCCGACTTTGTTGGGATCTTGTCCCTGTATACTGTGGTAATCACACTGGTCTCCGGTTTAACACGACTCAGTTATCGGTCGTATGGCCGTTATAATGTTTTCTTTTGTCTCATTATTTTACTCAGTTGGTCATCATTTTCATCTAACTGAAGGCTTTTTGCCTTCTCCATTCGTTTCTTAAATGATTTCTACCCCCGCAACAACCATTAGTGTTTCCACACCTATTCCGTTCTCTTCGACCGACTCAGGGACTGACTTCAGCTATGCGTAATCCCAATTTACGATTGAAAGATTATTCAGCATATTAGGCCTTAAGCCCGCATTAACACTTTGTATTTTCCGGACAATGGAGGCACATTCTTATATTAGTGAACTAACACATATTACCAAAACGATGAGCTCTGGGTAGAGAATCCCAACAGTTCACAGTTTGGTGTCAAAACTGAACTTGCAGACTCAGACATTCCGACCGCATTTTCTCCGCTTTAAGCATTAGGCAAGGTGAACGAGGAGGTAGTTCGAACGGGGTATCTAAATGCAACCTTGAAGACCTGACTAGTGATGATGTCATACCACTAACTCCGATGCGTAGAATTCCTTAGTGACAACCTCAACTGCGCATACATCGGTTTATCCAAGTATCTGGAAAATTTCAGCGTTGTAATGCGGCTGCAGTAAAAATTAGGTCGAAGTTCACTTGCACATAGAGAGAATATTCAGCATTGAAATTTAGATCTGCCCCATTCACAGCAGCAGCACGATTTTAACACGCCGCATACTGCAAATCACACATATCCTATCCCTGCATCTCTCTTTTTTGAGAAAAAAAGCTACGGCAGTATACAGAAGTTTTACCAAAGGTCAGGAGTCTTTATCTTGCAACCAAGAAGTGAGCGGAAATAAATCTCTTTAGTTTACGTCAGCTAGAGAAATTAATATTGGTTATTGAATTTCAACTAAATATTGTACTACTGCGATAGCCAAGGTGGCAACTTCTAAGCCCGCGCGATCTATGAGTTTTGTCATCGATTGTCGCCAAGTTGTCGTTTAACTTTAGTGAGTGGGCTGTCTTCTCTTGCATTTGATAAAATGAATTGTAGTTTAAATGTGTTTGCAGATGCCGTAACTTAGTTATGCGCATGGAAACACTTAAGTATTTCAAGTATGGGTTTTGTAGGGATTTTGTTTGATTGCATGGAGGATTTCATTATGAGCTGACATCAGTTAGAGAACCACTGGAAAACCCGATAGTAATGGAGAGTTGCTCCGCCATAGTTCGGGACTCTTCAGCAGTACGCACCCATCGGGATTCAAACTCAGGACCTTCTGGTTACATGGCTAGCGAGCTCGTGGACCATTGAGCCACTGGGACCCGATCCAGTGGTCCTTGTTGGTTTTAGCTGTGTATTCAACTCAATGAATTGAATATGCGGTTCTAGATATCTAGAGGAAACCTACGATAAATAATTCCGTATACGATCTACCAAAACTTATGAAGTGATTTACTTATGAAATTTGTGAGTATCTTTGAACAAACTGACTTCCACTAACAGCACAACTTTCAACAAATTTGAATCAGTCCGAGTTCCCTTACATTCTAAGAAACGCAGGGTGGCTGTCATAAATATGTCCATATAAGTGGTCGTATCTGGCAGGAATAACAGTCACTTTTAAAATAATAAAAGTTTCATACACAAAGGAAATCGCAGAGGGCGAATGTATCTATCCCAGTTAGCGTTGAGTTTAGGCGCATTTTAGATACTTTGGGCAATCGGCAGAAAACTGTACCACATTCTGCTATTGAGAAGAATCTTGAGCAATATTCCGCACTTTTTAAATTTCAGTCCTAAGAATAAAGCTATTATTACTACTGCTACTATTATTAACATTCAGCCGTTGATTGTTCACATCTCGTGGACGCTGACTATAAAGTATATAAATCCCTACGTGGTTTAGATCCACAGTTAAGGGTTTTATGTGTCAGTGCCATATGGTACTAATTTTTATCCATCCTAGGAAATTTTAGATGAATATCCGATTATTTTATTATTATACCCTTCTTTTCTACTTAAAATTGACTTGGAAATCGGCGATTTATAATTGCAATATCATAATTTCTCATGGTAAGTACACGTGTGGTTTAACGAATAAATCGCAAAGCTTCTCGATTAGGTCTCGCAGCTCAGAAAACACAACTACATCAGAATGATTCATTAGAACTCAAAATCATTCCTATTATTTCTATGTGTACATTGTAGTGTGAAGTACAGCTGTTATCTGTAGTGATGTATTAGCAGTTATACTCTTCTAATTTTCTCTATATTACTGTAAAATCATCACACTGTTGGGCAACTGTTGTGTCTCATCCGTTTCTCTCAACTAGGTTGCAATCTCGCAAGAATACTCTGTAGTGTGTTACGTTGAAAATGGATAGCGTTCATACACTTGGAATCCGATTCATCCAATGGATGCAGAGCTTCGATGTGAGTACTGATATTTTTAAGGATTGTTTTAATAATTATTATTAGTTTATTTTCATTCAAAAGACGAATGTAGGCAAGTATAAAGAAATAATTTTAAAAGTATTTGAATCCTTCCCGATCTAATGTAATGCTCAATTGCTACTTCAGCCCGTTTACTCCAACACAGGGTCGACAAATTAATGTGAAAAAACAGAGGGTATTTTTAATTGTTCTCAGAAAAACGCAGTAATAATACTTAGTAGTGCAGATAACAAACTCTGTCTTCCTTACTTTTCAGTTTAAATCATAAGAACTTGTTCTGAGGTGTTTAAAGGAACTTGAAACTACGAAAATTTGTTTTGCCTCAATAAATTTAGACTTAAAAACTTCAGCTCTGGGATTATTGGCCAGGATACATACCTTTTCTTCATTTTTATCCACCGAATGACAGTAATACTGTACTGCTTGCCAGTCAATATTTTTTTTTCCTTCACGTTCCCCAGTGGAACATAGGGCTTCAAGCTTGTGGCTTGAAGTTTCTGTAGCAGTGTATATTTTACAGGATGGGGTTGCTAACCTCATGCCCAACCTTTCCTCTTCACCAGCATTATTTCTGTCTTAGTGAGGTAAAGGAGTGCGTCGGCCGGGGATCGAACCCCGGACCATGTGCGTGGTCGGCGAGCGTCCTAACCGCTATACCAGTCAATATAATGTCGCGAATTCTAGTCTTTCACAAGTATGCGTGTGTTTGAGCACCTAGCCAGTGAATGGAAATTAGGTGTGTACAAGGCCACTTCCGAAGGCTGCCATATTTTTTACAAGTTTAACATAGACTTCTGATTATTTGCCACTTAGACTTCTAGAGAGTATATTGGTCCACACACAAGAGAACGTCACTAAAAATTTCTGAGTTCAGATAAAGTTCTCTGTACCTCTTTACTGAAGGCATACATCAATATTAGATTTTTAAGCTTCTTCCTTCACACTTGGATCTTACAGTTTTTCTAAACGGACACTGCACTAGTGACTCGGGGACTTTCACCTTGAGTCATGCCACGACTCACACTTTCATTTCATCTTCAGCTACCATCCCTTGTGTCAATACTAGCCTCCTAATTCAAAGTTACTACATTTAGTCTCACAATAACGTATTGTATTTGTTTACCTCTTGGGTAGCATGTGTGAAAATAGTGTACTAGAAATTTATGAAAACGTGGGTAAGTGATATGCTCTTGGGTTCTCAATTCTTGTCACCATAGTGACTGTAGCGTTAATTGTAGTTTTCTGTTCAGTAAGTTTAGTCTAAATGAGTAGCTTGTTTTTTAATGATCTATTATTTTTGGCGTTTATGATGCTGTACCCCAGGTTTTATTATTTAAATCAGGAAAAAATATTTTACTATAGTAACATGAGGTTTAAGTAGCTCATTGCCAGCATTTTGTAAGATCTACAATAAATTCAGCTTGTGCTAAACAGCTTAGGGAATGATATGGCTCAATCTAGCCTATCTGTATCAGATTTACCTGAGTAAAATCATTTGAAACTAATTTTCCAATCTTTTTGATCTTGTACTGATTTTAATTTGTTACATTTAGAGAGCTAAGAAGCCTATGTGATTTAAGATTCTCTCTTTTATGATTTCAGTGTTTGGAGCCCATGTTCACAGGTTTTAGTCATATTGGTAGTCCTAATACTGCTTATACATTAACCTTCCCAATCGCCTATTACATTAATCCAACACTGGGTATTACAACAGCTTTATGCACCATTTCATCGGACTATCTGAATGGAGTGCTCAAGTGGTCAGTAAATTGCGATCAAGTTTGAGTTCATTTTTATACATTTTTACCTGTTTTGTTTACTGTTATAATGCACAATCTTTCATTCTATGCTTTAGAGTGAGAAGAAAAAGACAAACTAAAATTAAACTTTAACTAGTTTATTCACATTTGCAACTGAAAGTTCTCTTTTTCCACGTTAAAAAACTGTTGGAGGTATTTACGCCTCATCAAAATCTCTCATTAGACTATTAAGAAATGACATTAATTTATGGTGATATTTTGCATTCAGCCCTGTGATGCCTTATTTTAAAAGACACATAAAGTACACAGTTTCAGGCCATCATGCATTGCAACATTGTAGCAACATTAAAATATCGATTGAAGGTTACGCAAAATAAAAGGCATGTGTAAAAACGAAGTCTTTGTCAGCATTTTGTTTGGAATCCTTTGGAATCCATTAATTACTGTAGTTTAATTACTGTAGTTTTATAAGTTTCTTCGTTAATGTAGTTATTTCACTTTTACTTACTGGTCTTTTTCCTATCAGAAATTATAAAACGTTGAAATATTGATTAAATATGTAACTTTACTAGGTAAATAGAATGAACCAATTAGTTTTCTTTTAAAAATTTACCCTCAACGCATCCATGAGGCTTTCAAGAAGCAGCATCTTCATCTAACTGATAAATGTGACAGCATATTATTGCTCTCATGAGGAAGATTAAGATTTTTGGCCTGTTTTTTTAAACTCATATAGTATTTATGTTGACATCTGATTTCCTTATTTGAATGAATGAAAATACAATGTCATAACAAAATTCTAGAGACCAGCCACCAAGTTTATCTCCTCTAATATTTTCTAATTTTATTGTGGAGTTATGTATTTGTCAAAAGTGAACATTGATTTCGTCGACTGGATCTCAACTATATATATCAGAAATGCAATAAAAAAATTGAAAATAAATGTCAGGATTTCATCGTGAGCTGATATTAGTTAGAGAACCACTGGAAAACCTGAGAGTACTGGACAGCTGTTTCGTCCTAGTTTGGGACTTTTCATCAGTACTCACCCACCGCTACGGTTCGAACCCAGGACCTTCCAGTTAAAAGGCGAGCTCGTATACCATTCAGCCACTGAGACCCGATTCAATAGCTAATGAATTCTAACTTCTACCAATTCGTGATTTAGTGCGACCCCAACCATTGTCGTTGGTGGGACATCCATCCTCACAAGTGACATTTAATTGGACCTCACTGGTCATGACTTCTCACTAGAACTCCAGGAAACTCCATCCTGTAGCAAGTCACTAACGAGCATTAGATTAATTTTCTATAGTTTGATTTGTAAGGGTTAGTTATGTCTTTACGAGTTGATCACGGATTGATATCAGTTAGAGAAGCATTGAAAACCAGCACTGGAGTACTGGACATCTGTTTTATTTTAGTTTGGGAATCATCGGCAGTACTCCGAAGTTAGTGAAACAGTTAAGCTCAGCTCACCTACAATCGAGTATTATAAATTAATTAAATTATTAATCTGAAAATATGTCTTACACATCGCATGCTTTTGTGCCACTGACAAAATCAAAAATCAAATCAAACTGCCGTTGTTAAAAATTTTCCTAATCTGGCTAATCACAGATAATTTAGTAATTCCTACTGTAGCATTAAGAACACAATATTCAGCGAAGAGACTCTTTTCAACGAATTTATTATCAAGCTGTACAATCGTATATATATATATATATATGGTTCTTTTAGGAATTATAACCGGTGAAGGAATTGAATCATAGGTGTGAATGCATAAAATAATAATAGTAGTATGAAATGCAGTGAAAATATTTGTGAATATAATCATAGTTAAATGTCAAGTAGCAAAGCAATTAATGTCATATATGGAATAATTCGTAAGATGTATAGATGTTGGAAAGGGGTGCATAATTATAGGATTAGTAGGCTAATATAAAATGTTACATAATGTGGTGTGAAATTTGATACGATAGAATTCAATTTGTAAAAACCAAAAAAATATATAATAATTTTGGATTTAAATTGACAAGTGGGACAAGCGGAAATAATTCAGAGTGAGAATAGTGAGAATAATAATAATAATCGTAGTAATAAGGGAAAGGTAGATAAATTAACTAAATAAACAAAATACATAAATAAATGTCTATCCTTCTACGTCAAGGCAGAAGTAGGGATGGTACATGCTTCTTTTGTACACAAAGGTCTGGCTTAAAGTCATGAATTGCCAAGGTCTCAGCTATCTTTAGAAGTCTGTAACCAAGGAAACGCAGATAGATTTTCCAGACTAATAGCAGCTGAAAATAATTAACTGTGTTTCCTAAGAGTTGCCCACTAGAACTCTAAACGGGAAGTACCGTTATCCTTTTTGCTTCAGTATATATATATATATATATATATATAAATCTTACTAATTCTTTGTATTTAATCTAATTTGTTAATATACAGGATACTATATGGTCATCGACCCTACTGGTGGGTAACGTTGAATGGCTTGTCACAAGATCCTACCTTATCTCTCAAGCAGTATCCGCTAACATGTGAAACTGGACCTGGGAGTCCTTCTGGTCATTGTATGATAACAGTGGCCAGTGTGATACCAATAATAGCTTATTTTTACTATAAACTCAAAAAGTATGCATTCTGTTACTTGTTTCAGATGTATAATATTTTAAATATTCATTTCTACTAAGCAATACAAAACCAACTTCTCATTAACTAGTCAACTCAAAAGAAACAACTGTAGTAATATTCTAGAAGATGACATACCTCAGAGCTTTAAGTCCATCTAAGTTTCATAGAATCGAACATGTCTGTTATAAATTTAAATATCCTGAGGATACACTATTCGAAGAAATAAAATGAATGTAATGCAAGTATAACTTAATGAAGATAACCAACCAGCAGCAGCAATAACAACAACAACCACTACCAATCACCATCAACGGGAGAGATTTAACAAAAGTTTCCTCCTTCACTTATCTAAGAAGCATCGTTTCAACCACAGGCACTTGAAACGGATGAAAATGTCGAAGTCAGAATCGGAACGGCAAGATACGCATTCATCAACCTGCAACCAGTTTGGAAATCTTCTGCACTCAGCCAGCCAGCATAAAGAACAAGATTCGGATTTTCAACACAAATGTGAAGTCAATCACTTCAATATGTGTCAGAAACTTGCACTTCACGTCAGAAAAAGTATTTCCATTAGGCCATTGCAGAATTTTGTCAACATCTGCCACCTTCACTTACTGGCTCCACACTGAAGATCAAATGGCCTGCAAGCCAGAAAGAATTAACTACAAGAAACTCTGTAGTGGAACAAACCAACAGGCGAGAGCCGGTGGCTTAACAAATATGAAGGAGAAAATGGAGATGGATCGAGCATGCATTGAGGGGACCATCGAATTGTATCGCACTCAGTGCAGGCCATCGCTGGAGTGGAATCCCATTGGGAAACGAAGAGTGGGTGTAACTACGAGGGTGATCTGGAGATCGTGGAGACGTGTTGCTGAAGTCTTATGTTCCACTTGGAACCCAAGGGAATAGTAATAATAATAATAACAATGTAGGCATAAATGAAAGTAGTGAGCATCTCTAACCCACAGAAGTAGTGTAATTTTTTGAATTATGGATTTAATTTTAAAATATTTAAGCAATTTACTTAAACTTTTCATTAAGTGAATTTAATAGATTCTTAGTGATGAATGTATATTTCAGAGTCAGCAATTACTGTCTCTTTTCCCCTTATAAAATGCGTCATTTTGTCAGCGAAGCTAATACATGTTCAGTCACGATAGACAGTGTCTACTGAAGATTCTCTTTTTATGCTTAGTGAGCCATCCTAATTTAAAAATGTCAGGGAATATGAATTACGAAGTTACCGTATTCATTATATTTTCATCTAATTTTATATGTACATTAAATATATCTTATTCAATACATCAAGATAGTCATTATTGAGAGATAGACAGATTAAAGTGACGTGTTGAAATTAGCAAGAGATAATTATACGTATAAATATATATATATTTATTATAAAGAAAATGGAAACTGTTGTAAAGGTAAATGAACCGCATGTACATAACGAAACTGTTACTTAAGTTTACGACTTTAGAAGTTAACTGGTGGATGGTGACTAGCAGTGGAATCCAGGATAACGCGCATTTCATCTTATTCGGGATTCGTCCGCCAGCTGAATGTGCCTGCATTCCTCAATGAGTGATGATTTTCCCGCCGAGGCTCGAATCCAGTGTTCATAGTTTCAAACGCCAAAGCGTTATCAACTAGACTACTTGGGCCACGATAGCCACCTCTTGTGCAACGGATCATATTAACTATTTAAATTTTAGATATTCCCGTCGATTGACTGGACCGAAGTCAACCTGAGACCGAGCACTTCGGTCCAATCAATCGACGGGAAAATCTAAAGTTGAATTAAGTCAGTTTACGACTGTTTTGGTTAGGGGTGAGAAATTCTCAGTGTTTTAAACGAAACTGGAAATAAAGATTATGAAATAAGTTAACCAACTATGGAAATATACCTTGTCACAATACCGGAAGTGAGTAATAACATTAGAGATTAACTTATTATAATGCACTCGGTTCAGATAATTAACTCCAGTAATTGTTTTTTGTAGAATTTAGTCTTTGGGGAGGAAAATGAAAGGATTGCGTGAGGGAGTTTGATAGACTGAAAGTTTTCTATGACTTGTTTCTGGGTATCTTCATGATTGACCCTGGTGATTGATGTGACACTCATCAAATTATTAATTACTCTTTTATCAGGCTTATTAAAAGTTTTGGCTGATATCATAATTTTCGAGCTTTGCAAAACACCACAAAAAGTGATTCACAAACAACAAGCTTAGTATCCCTCAAACTGACACTTTGATTACTTGTCAAATTTCCATCATTTTCTCGGAAATATTAACGCCTATATTTCTGGATGACATGACTGTGTTAGGTTTATTGAGCAAGATTAGTTTTTGGATTTGTTTCTTAGCGAAGTGTGTCCCTGGCATTATAATGTGCTTCTTGAAAGTCTTCTGTGGAAAAAATGGAGTCAGGAAATGTACACAACTCGCTATCATCACTGTTTTAAGCCAGTGTTGCTCAGTTTTTCCATCCTTTTCAACCTTACCGTTTGAATAATTCTTGAAAGAACTCTGAAGCAGTGTGGTGGTATAAATGTGATATGAGAAAAAACAATTTTCAGGTTGCTCATAAATGGAACTTTGAATTTCCTGTTTAATTTGTTATAAAGCCACTTAAATGGAAGACGCAGGTAGTTTCGACATTTGTAGGATTAATTTATGAGTTGGTAGGAATATCTTAAAATGCTTCGCTTTTATAATGATTCCTATTATTATTTGTGCTATTGAGCGTCGGTGGCACAGCGGTAGGATGCTCGTTAACCACGCATGTGGTCCGCGGTTCGATCCCCAGCCGACAAGGCACTCCTTTACCTCGCTAAGCCAGTAATACGACTGGTAAAAAGGGAAGACTGGGCATGAGGCTAGCAAACCCACCCGTAAAATTAAACACAATTGCTACCGAAACTTCAAGCCTCTAGGCTGCAGCCGTATGTTCCACTGGGGACGTGAAGGAATAAAAACATTTGTGCTATTATCACTAATAGACTTTTTGTTATACCATTCATTAGACTTAAATCCTGACCTATTTATTTATTATTTTTATTTTAGTCAAAATGAAAGACGATACTTACTGTGGTTATCTTCTTTGGGATTTGGTTTAGTTGGTCTTAGTCGATGTTATCTGGCTGCACATTTTCCTCATCAGGTTATCGCAGGATTATTATCTGGTAATAAAAAAAGTTTCTGTTTTGTTTATTTATTTAATTTTTTTTCTTCAAGTGATCCATACTGGACATGATTTTTATGAGAGTATGAAAGTTCTTTTTAATCATATCATAAAGCACTGTTATTAAATAGAAATTTCTGAGTTGTGTACATTCTGTTTATTAAGATATTTAGCTAATGAGTTGTATATTTAATGAAAGTTAAATTGATTTGAAGTTATTTAATTAAAAGTGGATAATATAGATTGTATGCGTCGGTGGCACAGTGGTGTAGTGCTTGCCAACCCCGTAAGTGGTTAGGGGTTCGACCTCTGGCTGACGAGACACTCCTTTACCTCGCTAAGCCAGTAATAAGATTGGTAAAGAGGGAAGGTTGTGCATGAGTCTAGCAACCCCATCCTATAAAATTAAATATCACTGCTACCGAAACTTCAGGCCTCTAGCTTGAAGCCCTATTCCACTGGGAACGTGAAGGAATTAATATATATATATATATATATATAGATTATGAAAAAACATGTCGTTTAGTGTCATAATAAATTCGATCAAATTCACAATCTTTAAATTAATTTTCAAGTATTGGTTTTGTAGGGATTTACTTTGATTGGATGGAGGATTTCATCATCAGCTGACATCAGTTAGAGAACCATTGGAAAACCTAGGCGTACTGGACAGCTGTTTCCCCCGTCCTAATTTTGAACTCTTCATCAGTACGCACCCACCGCCACGGTTCTAATCCAGGACCTTTTGGTTACAAGACTAGCGAGCTTGTAGACCATTGAGCCACTGGGACCCGATCCAATGGCCAGTCCATGAATTCTAACTTCTGCCAATACACGACATAGCGCGACGATTTCGCAATGTCTTCTTCAATGAGTTACTGCCTCATCTTCAACATGCTGTACCTGTTGATATATCTGAAGGTTGAAGATGAGGCAGTAACTCATCGAAGAAGACATTGCGAAATGGTCGCGCTATGTCGTGAACTGGCAGAAGTTTAAATTAATTAGCTACTTGCAATGTACGCAGTTCAAGGGGTAAGATTTTCACCACAGTCCCCTTTTACTGATAAAATGGTTTACTCTCTTGATTATCATTTATGGTGTCAAGTAGATCATAAACTGTGATCTGAATAATTTTGGTTTCTAAATAAAACTGTGGTGTCAATCTTACCTGTTGAACTGTGTATAATACAATTTGCTGACCAGTTTGTTGATTGTGAATTTGATTCATGCTGTCACCAGTTCGCCCAGGTAGCTGACCAGAAATCGAGTGGTTTAAACTGATTCGACTTTCTGAACTGAGTCAAAACTTATAACACTGCTGATGAGTTGGGCTCCAAACGGGAGAAATGGCCATCCGATGTTTAGATCACCCCGATCTGGCTAGCTGTTAAGCACTACTGGTTGATGTGAGTAGTAAACAACTACTCATCTCAATCAATCAGTAGTGTATATTTCTGTACAAATAATAAATTCGAATTATTTCAACTTATACAACTTTTTGAAGGTAAGAGGAAATTCAATGTTGAGCTTTTCATAACTTTATTATTTGTATGCATTGGTATTTAAGGTTTTTTGCCGCTTTGTAGGTAATTTATTTCAGCGTTTAAAAGAGGTCTAGACTAGAAGTCATTGTTAACGATTAAGCACTGGCATTTATTTCTTTTTACTTCATCCTTCATACTGTTGTAAGTGAATTCCAGTAAAGTAAGTATTGATTTAAGCGAAACAACTGACTAGCGATTGCGTCACTGATGTCATTTTCTGATAAAAGTTGTTTCCAATATTTCTACTGTTGTACTGGATCCATTTACTTTAAAAAATTGAACTAATAAGGCCGTATGGAATTTTTAAGTGGTGCATGTCTCTATGTATATATGTATATATAAAAAAGATAAAAAACTGGGTAACTTAATATCACTCAGTAATGTTCTTCTTACGGCACGTGATTTTATTATTTCACCAATACAAAAGAAGAGAAATGGACAAGAAAGTAATGTAAGAAGTAAATAGGTTTGATTTTTTACAATAATGTAATCATTTAAGAATGTGCTAGTCTTAGAGGTGTGTCTGTTTCTTACTATGTCTGTGGTGAGAGCTAGCTGGAAGCCAAAGTTTGTAGACAGCAATTTACGACCGGAATCGGGTCATGAGAAAAAAATACAATAAAAAAGCTTAATAATATATTTGCAAAACTTGGGCACTGTGGTAGTAAGTAATTCCATATTAGTGGGTTTATTAGATATATCACACAGTGAAGAAACAGTATTATTTACTGGATGACATTTCGAACAAAATTTATTGTTCATAATCATGTGAATTGTAATCAAACGACTTTGAAACTTGAGATTTATAGTTTTCTTTGTTCTCTCCTATTTGTCGTATGAGTAGTAGAATTTTCCAGATATCTGGGAATCATTCCTATTACACGTATTTGCAGTTGATTCGATAAAGAAAGCTTCCGTTATCAATCTCTCCCTCCACTTTGTGACATTAGATTTTAAAACTGTCATCTTATCCCATACTATAGTATGGTTGTGTGTAGTTGCATGTAGTGCTATAGATAAGCTATTCTCTAGATTTCTTATCTTTTTTGGATCAACCAATCTAGATTTTGTTAGGTCTTTAAGCTCGGCTAGTCTGCCTGACTGCCTCTGTTCTACTACTTTGACCTATGAATTTGACCTGGCAATCATTGCAGGGTATTAGGTAAAATAAATTTTGTTTTAAAGGCTTCACATGATCCTTTAACCGAAAAAACTTGTTTCCAATTGAGTTTGTGGGTTTGAATGCCAGTCACTTTTATTCTTGCCTTGTTAAGAATTCTGCGTAAGTTTTCCGAGGTTCCTTCTTTGTATGGAATTACTACTGATGAATTAGATTCCTTATTGTTGATATTGTCATTATCCTGCATATGTTTGACATGCATGTCATCATTAATATTACTATTATCGTTACTATTGTTATTACTATTGTTATCACTATCACTACTATCATTGTTTATTTTATTTTTATTGTTACATTTCCCTACATACTTCCTGACTAATTTATCAGGGTAATTATTAAGTTTCAAAGCTTCTCTTATATGCCTCAATTCCTGTCTTAGATTTTCCTTGGTACTACTTAGTTTTTGTGTTCTATTACTTAGACATTTCACCAATTGTATTACCGTGTAACACTGTGTGATTTATCAAAATAAAATCTTATCCATAATAGAGTTATACTCTACCACAGTGCACAAGTTTTATACTTATATTTTTACTGACGTAGGATGGAATGAACGAAAAAACCCCAGTAGGATGTATGATGTTGTTAAAGTTCATAAGTCAGGATACCCTATTAGACTTATAGTCAAATTTTAGAAATTCCCTAACTTATGAATTGTCTAAATATCTAGCCATGGTATTAAATCGCCTTAAAAGTCACTCAAAATCTAGACTAACAAATTCTTATGAACTAAAACATAGATTAGACAATTTTAAAATTAGATAATGAAGAAAAAATGGTTAGTTTTGACATTGTCAGTTTACTTACACGTATACCAATAAATATGGCTATAGAGGCAGTCAGAAACGAACTTATTTCTGACCAAGAACTCGGACTTGGGACGAAAGTGCCACTTGAGGACATAATGCTTGGAGTGCAGCTATGCCTGACTTCCACAGTACTTAAATTCTACGGGAAAATATAAAAGCAAACTGAGGGAGTTGCCATGGGGTCACCAATATCCCCGTTTGTGGCAGATATATTCATGGATAGGTGGGAAAACTTAGCAATTAAAATGTTTAACCCTATCTCAAAAGTAGGGTGGAGGTATGCAGATGACACATTCAATGTACTTAGATCACAGGATATAGATAGATTTTTCGAACACATTAACTCAAAGGTGGAGGCAATTCAATTCACTTATGAACTGGAAAGTCAATGTTAGATTGTAGAGTAAAAAAGAAAGAAGATGGGAGGTTAACCACTAGTGTTTACAGAAAACCCACACATTCAAACAGATATTTCGACTTCCGATCATCCCATCCTATGTCAGTAAAAATAGGATTGGTGAAATGTCTAAGTAATAGAACACAAAAACTAAGTAGTACCAAGGAAAATCTAAGACAGGAATTGAGGCATATAAGAGAAGCTTTGAAACTTAATAATTACTCTGATAAATTAGTCAGGAAGTATGTAGGGAAATGTAACAATAAAAATAAAATAAACAATGATAGTAGTGATAGTGATAACAATAGTAATAACAATAGTAACGATAATAGTAATATTAATGATGACATGCATGTCAAACATATGCAGGATAATGACAATATCAACAATAAGGAATCTAATTCATCAGTAGTAATTCCATACAAAGAAGGAACCTCGGAAAACTTACGCAGAATTCTTAACAAGGCAAGAATAAAAGTGACTGGCATTCAAACCCACAAACTCAATTGGAAACAAGTTTTTTCGGTTAAAGGATCCTGTGGAGTATAGATCTTGGGCATTGGCGGACAGTATAGCCCTATTATAGATAAGATTTTATTTTGATAAGGCACATAGTGTTACACAGTAATATACACTGATGACGTTTCGAGCACAAACTATTGCTCATAATCATATCAAGTTACTCATACAACTTTTTTCCTTCATTTATATACATGTGTGGAAATGACTAGATATCTGAATAAAAATAAACGTAGGATAATGTACATTCAGAAAGAATAATATGAGACGGGAAATGAGATGTTATTATAGTCATAGTCAATCATAACGTTCTAACAAGTAACTTATTGTGACTATAAAAACACTCGTCTTATTTCCCATCTAATTGTAATTGGTCAATAACTCTCATATTATTATTTCTGAATACACATTACCCTATATTGATTTTTATTCAAATATCTAATCAATTCCACTAATGTATATAAATGAAGCAGAAAGTTGTGTGAGTGAGCGCTTTGATGTGATTATGAGAAATAGTTTGTGCTGGAAACTTCATCCATTAAATAATATTGATTCTCTATGTGACATATCTAATAAACAAACTAATATGGAACAAAGCTTAACCTTGAGGAACTCACCAACCAATCACAACAGACTTAACGTGTGCAAATAAGATTCGCAGATATGTGGTTTAACTTTCTAAGAAACGGTCACGAGCAGTACAGACTAACCTTCAGCAAGAAAACAACCAATCAGAAGACGTTGCTTCCCTGCTTACAATAATGAATAATAATGTACATAGAAATCTATAAATATCTTTTGATTTTCGTAATAAACGATCTGTTGTCTGGCCTTTGTCTTCTGTCGTTACATGTCTAACTTATTGTATTCTTTAAATTATTTTTGCTGCATTGTCTTTTTTCTATGCAGGTTGACATTCTGGATAATCCCTGACATTCTTGATGCGTTTGTTATTCTTTATTTTACAAGGTTATTTTTACTGTGTACTTTTTTTCGTAGATTTTGTGTAGCTAAAATGACCCTATTTGAGTTATACACTGCCGGTGATGATAACGTATGTAACTGCTATACCCAACAGTTTTAAAGATTCTTGCTCTTTCACAGTGTCTGGAAATCTTTATATTTCTGCGGTTTTTATCCACACCTTTTCTTATCTTCCCTGCACCATTTATATTTTCAGCTCTTTGTGGTGATATTATTTTGTTCGTAGAAAATTCCCATTGGGACATATAAAAATATCAAAACAAGTGACTCAGCAAAGAGACTCTTTCCAACGAATTTATCATCAAGTCGTACGATTGTATATATACATAGTTTTGTTTTAAGAAACTATATCCCTTGAGGGAATTGAAACAGAGGTATGAATACGAACAATAATAGTAGGATGAAATGCAGCTGAAATGTTTGTGATTATAATTATAGTCAATTATCAAGCGGTAAAACAAATTATGTCATATATAGAATAGTTCGTAGGATATATGGATGATGGAAGGGGTTGTAAAATTATAACATTAATGGGCGAATGAATACATTACATAACATGGCGTGAAATTCGATAAAATAGAACTAAACATTGCGAAAAAAATGATTTAAAACGACAAGTGAGACAAGTGAAATTATGCCAAAAGCAGTTCAAAGTGAGAATAAAAATAGTAAGAGTCGACGTAATAAGGGAAGGGTATACAAATTTGAATAAACACAAAGAAAAATAAGTAGGGCCAAAGTATTAACGGGGATTATCACACTTTAGCGTAGACGGATAAGAACCATGAGAACACACAGAGATCAGGCTTTTCTATTTCGATGGCCAAAGATGGCTTCAGCAATACATATAGGTCGGATACGGAAATTATTTTTCACCTTTTAGATGACTTTAAAGGAAGCGGCTGTAGGGATAGGATGATATATATAGACCAGATTTTCAATAATTGTGCTTCTTCAGACCCCAACTCCATCTTTTCTTAACTATGCAGGATAGTGTTCCTGTACCCTTGATAATAAATAAATTAGCTGAAAAGATTCTTTTCGCTGAATTACTTGTTTTGACTTTCTATGTATGATTTTGTTCCCCTATTCCCTTTTAAAATGCTTATTATTTTTTCCACTGAAACGAGATCTCGCTTAACTAAAATAAGCGCGTTAAAATTTGTGTCCTCTGATTAAAACGAATCACTTGCATAAAGATATTACCTACCGCTTTGTCATCATTTTGTAGGAGTTGAGAAGGAAAGTACTATTTACCTAGTGTACAGTTAAGCTATCTTGTCTACAAAGTTTTGAGTATTGTCAGCCATAAGTAATCTATTAGTTCAGTCTATGCTTTGGACTTTTAAAATAATATCTGGTTGGAGGATTTCATCATGAACTGACATCGGTTAGAGAAGCACTGGAAAACCAACAGGGAGTACTGGACAGCCAGTTGTTTTGTCCTAGTTTGGGGCTCTTCATCAGTGTTCACCCACTGCAGGGTTCAAATCCAGGACCTTCTGGCTACATAGCTAGCCAGCTCGTAGACCATTAAGCCACTGGGACCTTATCCAATGGTTAGTACATGAATTCTAACTTCTTTTGAAGAGACCCAAAGTGGGATGAAACAGCTGTCTAGTACTCTCGGGTGGTTTTCCAATGGTTCTCTAACCGATTTCAGCTCATAATGAAATCCTCCAGCCAATTAAACACAGAGTCCCTACAAAAACCAATACTTTTAAAATTATTATCATTATACGTTGGGTTCTCTAAAAATGTTTTTGACGCCATACTGAATAATGAAAATTGAAGTCTTGAAGAAGGATTGATTCGCCGAAGATTCCAGATAATTGTTTATCTGACGAATGATAATGATTCGGATAGGAACACAATAATAACTGAATTCACTGAAGTACATTCTGCTATGAAATTCACGAGCGAAGAGGAATCCTAAAACAGAATTGCCTTCGTCCTTACAAGAAAACCAGATGGTAGTATAAAAAGAAATTTGCATAGGAAAAGTACGTGGACAGGACAATATATACATTTTCACAGCTTCGTTCCTCTCAAGTACAAAAGAAATTTAGTCAGGACCCTCCTCACCCACAGGGTTAGAGCCATATGCTCAGAGGAAGTAACTGAAGATGAACTAAGCATTGTAAATGATACCTTGACTGAAAATAGCTATCCAGACAAGTTCATCAGGAAACATATGACTATTCACTATTCGTAAACAAGATGCCCTTATACATACGGCTGCAATTCCAAAGCGATATGCCTAGTGAAATAACTACGAAAAAGTTGAGAAAATTAGTTCAAATAACTTTCATTGCTGACAAACTACAAGTCTTATCTTCTACACGATCGATGGTGATTCCTCGATTGAAAGATGAAGTACCTAGACTAGACTAGCCAATTTCAGTTGTATCTACCAATTCAAATGTGCCTGAGGTGGAGCGAGTTATATTGGCCGTTGCTCTAGGAACTTGATGTTGTGCTCGAGAACACCTATCAGTATGGCTAAGTAAAGATGTAGTAAAAACCATCAACAGTTCAATGTTAGACCACCTGATCGAAACCGGCTACAAAGCCAGCATGCATGAATCCTTCTCTATCATCTACGGGGTGCCGAATAAATTTCTAAAAACATTGTGGTACCGCATGCTCCAAACAGCAGACGCTATGGAGATTTGCGTGAAACAACCAGTGCTTTGTGCGCAGAAGAAGCCACTCCAGCCAGCCACTACTACTGAGTTGGCCGGCCTTCAATGAAGACTATAAATTCATGTATTTGTATTATTATCTTTCCTAATTTGCCTTTCTGATATTCAATGTATTGTTACGTTAATGCTATTGAACTGTGATCTATTGATATTATTGATTTGATGTTATTTAAACAACAATAATGTTGTTCATAACGCTGATTCATTCATTCACTATATAATTGTAGAACCTGATGAAGAGCAGGTTGTCAAAAAGAGTATTCTTTGTTCAGTGTCCATTCTTTTGAAAATTTCAATGGGCATTTTTAATCAGTTAGAATGGGGAAAAATATCGATGATTATAGCTACACGCCTTGTTATTTTGTTGACATTGAACATTGAATAAATTATTTTTTTTTAAAAATCTAACCGCGGTTATAATGATAAGTTTATTGAATGAGATAAATTCATACATTTAAAAAAAAGCTATAAATGGATATTCGTATTCTACACAAAAGTTTGTTTAAATATATGAAGTAGTCAATGTCTGCAAAACATGATGTAAACTCTGTTAAAATTTAGATTATCACTAATGTTAGTTAATCTTATTGGTCTTTGTTATAATTTCTAGGTGTTGTAATTGGTTTATTATTTCATTCTACTGATAATTCTGTCTATACATCAACTGATGAGAATACAGATTGGTTACATAAGAAAGCTGCATATCTATTAACTCATCCAAATGGACTATTATGGCTTGGTTTAGGTTCATTTACATTCGCTTACATTTTAAGCTTATTTATACAATATGGTTTAAAAATGGATCCTAATTGGAGTGTAACATTAGCCCGATCAGCATGTATACGACCAGAATGGATACATTTATCAACTAGCCTAATGAATTCATTTTCTAAAATAGCTGGAGCAGCTGCAGGTGAGTAGTAAAATATATTATCAAAAGTTGGTTGAAATTACTGTTTCTTTTTAAGATTTTCGATATATTTCAAGGCATTTAGAAGACAAATTTCGCGAGATGATATCGTCATTTCATAGTTTCTTTACAACCGCTTTACAACTAACATGGTTAACAATAATAAAATAAAGATCATGACAATTACTCAGTTAAACAAAAAACGCAAAAGTACATACTAATGACCAATCATATTTAGATACGTCATGCTGTCCATGGTAGGCGAAGATTGAAGTCTATTGTTTTTTGTACACACAGTTTAGGCTGTATGTGATTAATCCAAAGTGCTTCCATCACCTTCAATAACCTTGAATTATAGTTATGTGAAATAATTGTGAAATAGTCATTAATATTGATTTTGTGACCTGACAAATTGATAAGTCTTTTGCAATGGATGATGCTGGATTTCTATTCAGATTACTGTCACTGGGATTTTCTATATGATTTAGTAGCCATTTCGGAACATGTTCTTTTCGACGACATTGAAACATTCTGTTGGTTCTACCTATATGGGTGTCACCGCAGCTGCAGGTGAACTTGTAGATACAGTTCGAAGTAGAGTCCACAGAATTTCGTCCTTTAATCGTAGGTACAGGGATTGAAAATGTTTGGCAAGTGAGGAAAAGAGATGCGGCGTAGAATGTGCGCTTGATGGCTGACCGAAGTCTTCGAGCTATCTGTCAACTGCATAATCTGGTCATCCTTGAATGGTAGGTTAATAAAGATAGCTTTCTTTGGTACAGAAGCTGTCTTTTCGAGATGTGGTCTTTCTTTACTGTGACAAGTGATGAAGCTTTCCGGATAACCATCAGCTAATAAAACTGAATGTATACGTCGAAACTCATCCATCACTGTGTCACTCGTGCATATTTCTCGGGCCCTTGAGAAATACATTTCACCAAGGAACGTTTACACTGGATAGGAACAAAACTGGTAAAATGAAGATATTGTCCAATCCATGTCTGTTTACGAAACATAGATCGCTGAATCGTTCCATCATCTCTCCTGGTCATTGTAGTATAGAGGAAACCGAGTTTCTTATTCGATTTGAGCTTGGACGTCACTCGGATATTTGGATGAATATGATTAAATAGGGTAATAAAGTTTTTAATAGATTTACTATTATTACCATTATTACCATATTATTACTATTATTACTCTTACGCCTATAAAAGACTCATTATCAAATCATTCTGTAAAAAGTTCATTTGTTCTGACAGATAAGCTAGGGACCTTAAACATTAAGGATAAGGTTATGTGTTCAATTGACATGGAATCTTTATTCACCAATGTTCCTATTCATGAAACTGTTGATTTCATTTGCGATTACATCACAAGCAATGGGATAAACTTACCTATTCCTGTCACGTACATCAGAGACATCATCTTAATGTGTACAGAAAATATTAGATTCCCATTCCAAGAAAAGGCATACAAACAAATCGATGGTGTTGCAATGAGGAGGTTATGTAGTCCATGGAAGCACTTTGGATTAATCACATACAGCCTAAACTGTGTGTACAAAAAACAATAGACTTCAATCTTCGCCTACCATGGACAGCATGACGTATCTAAATATGATTGGTCATTAGTATGTACTTTTGCGTTTTTTATTTAACTGAGTAATTGTCATGATCTTTATTTTATTATTGTTAACCATGTTAGTTGTAAAGCGGTTGTAAAGAAACTATGAAATGACGATATCATCTCGCGAAATTTGTCTTCTAAATACCTTATTCAAATTTATCAAAGGGACTAATTGATATATCGGACACACTGTGAAGAAGTTAGTGGGTGACACTGCGCTCCAGACCATCGCTCGAGTGTAACGTGAATGACAAACAATGATCTGGGCTTTGGTCCGAGAGTGACGCTGAGGATATCGTGTGAGAAAGAAATGAAAGCCTGTGGGCAATTGTGAGGACAGCTGAAGAGGACCGGAGACAAGACAACTAAATGGAGTTGTTCTACTGAAGCTCAACAATGATAACAATAATGTTGTTAATCATCTTTTTCTTCGATAAGTGGAATATTAGCGCGGTATTTAACTCATCCCATGTTAGTTCTCTAATTGTATTAGTTGCCAGCATTACTGTCTTTCAACTGTCTAGTTCAGTAAATCTTTGTTTCATACATTTATTCCCCTTAATGAATTTGAACAAACCAACAACTACAGTTTTAGCAGAATAAAAAGGCACTATCCTTTATTTCATTGCCTTCTCGTCAGCTGCTTACAGGGCAAAAACAGTATTAAATGTATCTACAAAAACAATTTAACGTAATTGCACAGAGTTCATTTTAAACAGAAATCAATCGATCAATATACACATACACTAATAATATATACATATATATATATGCAATATTGAACACAATTCCGAACATTAATAATCATACACAATGAAATCTTCTCAGTATCTCGCATTCGGATGAGAAATATCCAGTTACCAGGGCAAAAAAGACTGATAACCGCTTCTTTCTGAACGCACAAATCAGGTTTCAGGCGCTTGATGGAAATGGCTTCAGCAAACTTAAGGAGAATTGAGCTGTTTTGCTTATTGATAATTTTGAATGACTTTTCGACGTCCAACTGATGACCCGTGTCAAGAAGATGCCTGGCGATTGCATTGTTTAAAGCATTTGTTCCCTTTAGACGTAAGCTTTTTGGTACATTTTCAGAAAATCGTAGATATGCTCTTCTTTCTGTTCTTCCAATGTAACTGCTCCCGCAGATACATGTAAATTTGTATATACAGTTGGAGTTAACATGAGAAGGATATCTATCGATTTTTGATTGCACCAGAGAGCAAGTTGTTCGAAAGACGGAACCGAGCTTAGCTTCGATAAGTGGAATATGAACCCGCTGTTTAAGTCATCCTATGTTAGTTCTCTAATTGTATTAGCTGTCAGCATTACTGCTTTTCAATTGTCTAGTTCAGTAAATCTTTATTTATTTATTTATTTATAAATGTGATTCTACTTTCTTTGCTTTTGTTGTCTTCCTCTCTTTTTCTAGGCTTATCATTAGCTTTACACCTTAAACCGCCAACAAATTCAAAACAATTAGTATTAGGTTCAAATTCTACACAAATTGTTTTATCCAGTTCATTGTTTGTATTGATTACTACAAAATTTATGGAATCATTATGCGGCAGCACTATTAATCTCTTAGCTAAATCCATATTCAATCAAGATTCAAGCAATAGTATTAATGCAATACAATTATTCAGTTCATTTATACAAGGTACTATTTGTCCATTAACAACTATTTGCGTTTTACCAACAATTATGAGTTATTTTCATCATAAACATAATAGCTGAATTATTAGTGTATCCAGGAGAAAAGCCGACGAAAAGGAAACGGGGCATTTCATTCTTGTTTTGTCTTTCATTTAAATGAGGTGTTATTTTACTTTTAAGAAAAAACAACTAAACTATAAAAAAAAGAATATCAACACTGTGCAATGTTAACGACAGAGTCATTAGTTTTAAATTGTACTATTTAACTTGTTAAGAGTTGTACATTATTGAGTTTGTTTCTTAATACAAATAATTATTGATGAATCGCTTTCTCAAGAGTTGATTTGTTTTCCGAAGTCGTGAACCAGTGAGGTGCATCCAGTCGTGGTGTGATAATGGATTTCCTACCGTTTATAATGGTTGGTGATCACATTGAAATCATGAATTGGTAGAAGTTAGAATTCATGGAATGGCCACTCTCCATTGGGTCACAGTGGCTGTGAATGGTATACGAACAGGCTTGCCTTGTAACCAGAACGTCCTGGGTTCGAACCCCTGGTGGTGGATACATTCTGCCAATGATTCTCAAACTGGGATGAAACAGCTGTCCAGTACTCCCTATGGCTGGTTTTCAATGGTTCTCTAACTGATATCAATTCGTGGTCAAACTCGAATTGCTTTCTGTTTGCTTGCTTGTTTATTATTATTATTATTATTGTATCCTTGAATTCCTAGAGGAACATAGGGCTTCAGCCGTGCGTCTCCATTACCTTCGGTTCTCTGCTAGAGTCTTCACCTGGCTCAAAGTCTGCCCACACGTTTTCATCTCCTCTTCACATGACCTCCTCCAAGTCACCCACTTTCGCACTGATGACCAACTCGCCGCTTCCCATTCGGGTTCCACTCGAGCAATGGCTTGTCTAGTGATGTCACTTGATGCTTTGTTTCCTCAGAGTATGGCAAATCCATCTCCATTTCTTCCTGCCTATTTGTTTCACAATTGGTTCCTGGTTGGTTCGCTCCCAGAGATCCCTCCCTGCTGCTGATCTTTTCTGACCAGCCATCTGATCTTGAGTATTGAGCGAAGACAGGTGTTGATGAAGGTCTGTAGTTTGTTTGAGATGCTCTTTATGACGCGCCAAGTCTCAGATCCGAATAGTAGCACTGAGTTCACATTGTTTATGTTTCACAAAATCTTGGTAAATTTGAACAGACAGAAGTTCATGAAGAGATAAGAAGTTTGATTATATATACGTATAAATACCAGTGTTGATTTGGTAAGGTAAGTGAGAACAAGTACAGTTTCATTTGGTTTCCTGTAATTATCTTTATTGTCAATTTATACTGGACGATAGTTGAAACTGATGAGTTGTATGATATCTCATACTTTGTAGAAAAAAGTAGGAATTTACCAAATAATAATAGGTAGATTCGTCTTTCACTAATTTTTAAGCATCATATCGTCCACTGGAGTCACTAGTTTAATGGTAGAACATTGTTCAACCACGCAAATGTTCTAGGGTTCGATCCCCGGCCGACGCATTTCTTTACTTTGCTCAGCTTGTAGTGAGCCAGGTAAAGAGGGAAGGTTGGGCATGAGACTGTAACCCCATGTTGTAAAAAGAAAAACCACTGCTACTGAAACTTCAAAGTTTCAGAGCTTGAAGCCCTATATTCCTTCAAGGCTGCAGATACTCCTTGCTGACGAGTACCAACTAGGACGAAACCTAGGTCGAAGGCTTCCTGTGGCCGATTGCCTCCAAATATCTAATATCATCAAATCAGTGTGCACCGTGGTGGCGAGCTACCTAGAATGGTGACCACATTGCCAACCTGACTGATAGAATTCAGTCTGCATCAAAGAGAGGACCAAACATGTCACATTATTTACTAATGTCCAATCCAAATACCCACTACAGTCCTACAGGAGGTCAATCGCTAGCCTGAATAGCTCAGTGGCTGGTAACGTCTCTGACTGTAGCGCTCACTAGGTGACGCGGGTCCGAATCTCAGAAGGGACATGAGTTCCTTACAGATACGCCTTGCCGATGAGTGCCAGCTAGGACGAAACTTCGGTCCAAGGCTTCCTACCGATTGCCTCAACCTATCGAATATCATCAAGCCCTATATTCCACTGGGAACGCAAAGGAAAATAAAACAAGTAGAATAAAATTTAAAAAATCATCAACTAGGCGCTTTCTCTAGGTGGCTATGAAAATTGGCAAAGGCAAAAACCAAATATTACCGAATCACTTCATTATTTGAACCTAAATTTAATCAATTTTCAGGGTAGATGATGTTTAATCCACCGAAAATAGAGGTATTTCGATGCAAATGATAGAGGAGTATTTCGAGACCGCGGAGGATGTTTTTCATAGGCACATAAAAAGAGGGCTAATCAAGCATTTTGGAGTAGTGGTGAAGATTATTTACACAATTGGACATTTTGTTTTTGTATTCTCTAAGCTGGATGGCTTAATTGCGAAGCTTTCTTTGCCTGTTCATTGTGAAGTGAGCTTTTGGATTTCTCCATGGATGAAATACCCATCTTTCCTTGTTGACCTTGATTGTAATTGGTTGCCTCTGGAGATTTTCTTATGACTATAATCATATGTACTGGTATTGTTTCTATCGTTGATCGATATTTGATCTCTTTCTTGATCTTGTAACTTATTCTCTGTTAATTGAGGACTTTCATCTATATCATTATGTCTATTAATTTCAAGTTAATTTGATTACCAGGCTTCCAGGAATTCCCTTGCATTTTTTGTACCTCCATTGTCTGAAGTTTCTATATTTATCCTCGTAGTTTTTTAGGCAGACTGACATGAATTAATACATGTTGTGTCTTCTGACTGTTAGTCTGTATTCATATATACAAAGATGAAGAGGATGTCTGTCTTGATCGATATAGTTTTGTTTCTGTATTGATGTAATCGATTTTTTTGGATGACGTTGGCTTTGTATTCATTTTGTGTTAGAGTTTTTGGTTTACATAACAGCATGGAGCAAAGGGACTATGTTAGTTTTTGAGCGATACATATTACAAAAGGTTTCAATATTTTTAATAACGATTTCGGAAATATTTTCTATGTACAGGACGACTCTTTTTATCGTTGTAGAGGATGATTCTGTGTGTTGCTCTGTAGGACTGATGATGAACACCTATTGGTGGATTTTTTTGGATGTCCATTTTTCTGGAAGATGTTCATTACATGTTTCCCTCTCATACTTCATAGGACATAATTGCCTCAATGTGTCCTTAGGAATAAAAGTGGTAAACATTAATAAGGCTTTTGTTAAGTGGTTCTCAAGAAAGGCTAATTCCTTATTTAGGTTTTAGAGGCTGAGGATATTGACGTTCACGAATAGTACGAAGTATACTAACGAAAGATCTAGTACCCACAACTTCTATAATATTCGTTCCGCGTAGATAAAAGGCAAAACAAAACACCAGAATTGATCGTCCAAATTACGAGTTATATTTTGCGACCAAATCGGAGTGTGAGATGATTGCTTAGCTAGCTAGGGATTGTGCACGAACGAACGAACGTGACACGACAGTGTGCCAAATGGCGTGGATGCTTGACCGGAAGCTTTCAGCTAAACAAGTTGACTTAAACAGTGAGAGTCAGCATCCAATGTTCAGTGATGAATGCTGTGACCAATAATTTTGGGGAATTATTTACCGCTTAGCAAGCTGAAAGTTGTAAACATGAGGTACTATTAAGCTAAAGTTACTGTTAATTGATACACATTATAAAGTAAAGATTTGCTTGACAATTTCTTTTGCTTTAAGAAAGCCCATATCATCAAGCTTAGAGAATACTACTAAACACACGCTATAACGTTTAGTAGTAAAATAATTACCAGTAGAGAAAATCTGTCGAAATCAAATAAGGGTTTATCAGGTTATGTGTGAGGACAAATACTCGCCGAAGACATTGGCTAGCGGTCTCGCTATGTCATGAATTGGCAGAAGTTGGAATTCATGCACTGGCCATTGGATTGGGTCCCAATGGCTTAATAGTCTACGAGCTCGCTAGCCTTATAACCAGAAGGTCCTGGATTCAAACGCTGGCGGCAGGTGCATACTGATGAAGAGCCCCAAACTAGGATGAAACAAATGGCTGTCCGGTACTTCCCCTTGGTTTTCCAATAGTTCCCTAACCATTGTAGCTCATCATGAAATCCAATAACCAACCAATCAAACCCCTACAAACCAATACTTGGAAATCAAGTAAATTCACAATAGGAAGCTCATTACCTGATTGGTAGAAATCTCCAAATACCGGTTAAAATATACAAGTATCAAGGAACTTAACCCTAAGTTTCTATTATCTCCGAAGACGCCCAAAGTGACAATTACTATGCACAATATTGACCTTAACTCCAAAACACAAGAAACGAGAAGAAGTTGTATTGTTCGGCAGTTAAAGTTAATACTCTGTACAAAGTCTATATAAAAATGTTATACATGGAATGTATTGTACTTTTATTCGTATTCCTTCGTTTTCTTCCAACTTGTACACGACTGAATCACTCGCGCCTTCGAGTTACCCGCCAATTGCGACCAAGGCCAATGTACAAACGTTCAATGTTCACAATAAACGACAACAAGCTCATCTAGCTGACCAATCTAAATAATCTTTCGCTTCTATGCAGAAATTAGAGATAAGTGTGGTTCACGCATTTAGTAAAATAGCGATCAAGACTGAAAATAAGAAGTTTTACTGATAGAAATGAAAATTTCAACTACATGTATTGCAAAGACAGAAGACAAGGGCCAAGCAACAGATCGTTTATTGAGAAAATCAACAGATTTTAAGGAATTTTATGTACATTATTGTCAGAGGAGAAGCAACCTATTCTGATTGGTTGTTTTCTTGCTGAAGGTTATTCTGTATTGCTTGGGACCGTTTCTCAGAAAGTTAAGCCATATATCTGAGAATCGTATTTGCACACTTTAAGTCTTCTGTGATTGGTTGGTGAATTCCTCAAGGTTAAGCTTTGCTATTGTTTTTTTCTCATGACCCCGATTCGGGACGTAACATTGACGTAAATTGCTGTCTACAATTTTGGCTTTTTTGCAGACAGCTCTCACCACAATATCATATCACGTGTTTATTTATCATGGCAAACAAATCACCTGATATCATGGTGTGTTTTTTGTTGTTGTTGAAATATTTCGATTATTTGAATTAAGAATAGTACTAGAAAGGAAAGGAACATGTATACAATTATATGATGATAACGATAACAGAAAGAGTAATTTAATGAAGGATTATAATGTCTGGAATTTCAGTGATAAAGAAATTAATAAA